CACACACACACACACACACACACACACACACACACCGATATACACACAGCAACAATCAGTCGGTTAGCGAACGCCGACAACAGTTTTCATCACCATCTTCAATATCATCACCATCAACATCATCACTATCGTCTTCAGCAACAGCAACACCATCATCATCATCATCGTCAAAATCACCATCGTCATCATCATTCCCAAACCCTCTCCCACATCTCTCCCTAAATCCTTTGTCATTGTTACTGTTGCTTCTGCTTCTGCTATTGTTGCTGCTTCTACCACCAGTGGCCGTAGTTGCTGCTTTCTGTAATGGTTATATCATTTTTAACAGGAAAATTTCTTCAAAAAACTGAAAAGCAGAAAAAAGCTACGCTCGGTTTCGTTCAATTTTTCTATTGCAGAAATTATTAAGCATTTTTTCATCATTATCGTTATCATCATCGTCATTTTTTCTTTTGCGCCCCCGTTAATCATTTAAGAACTTTGATTAGATAAAGATGAAGCGAAGAAAGGTAAGAAAGTAGAAGTTACTTCTGTTACTTTACAGGACCGAAATTAAAGGAAAAGTTATGCTTTACTTTTTAAAAATCACATCAGAAACATATTGTACAACCGATATTAAATTAAAAACAGTCATTTTTCTTTCCAACCGTTGTAAACAAGCTGCGAACTTTATCAAGTTTCTTGGAGTTACAAAACTTTTTCCACATCGTTTTTTCAGCCAGATAGCTTATACCCTTCGTCCCCTCCATACCTCTTCTTATCTTCCTCTCATCCTCAAAATATTATGTAGTGTCAAATGATATATGGGCATAAAATCACTAAAATTTTCCCTTTTTTTCATAAAATTCTTTTTCTTTTTGCCAGTAACTTTTCTGTTTGTATAGTTTCCGTTTTCCTCTGTTGTTGTTGTTACTTTCCTTTTATTTTGATAAATCATTGATTAAACGGACTTGGCTGACAGATCAGAAAAACAGTACAGTGTTTTTTTTTTTTTTTTTGCGTGAACGGCGCATTGTTATGTGGTGGTTGGATTAGCAGCGAGGTGAAAGGGAAGGGAAAAAGGGGGAGGAAACGATAAAAATAAAACGTAATTTTTTTCTCAAATTTATTGAAGAAGAAGATGAAGAGGAAGAAAAAAAAAATGGGACGAAGAGAACGCAGTTACATCAAGGCAATTACAGATGTTTTATTTTTGTGAATCATTTTTTCCAAGCTTTCGGATTTCAGTTGAACACCGCCAACGTACAAATACACAAAGCGAAAAGTTGAAGAGTACAGAGGAGGAAACAGTAACAGCAACAGCAAAAACAGCAGCAGCAGTATCAGCAACAGATGAGAAAACTGGTTTAACAACAACCTTTAGCATTAATGCTGACTAAATTTCCGTCATTGTAACGTTTATGTTTATTAATTTATTGAAATCATTGTTCTCTTGACAGTTTTACAGTTCTAAGCACAAATAAAGAAAGGAATAAATTTTAAAAAAATTAAGTAAATTATTATGAACTTTTGAGGTCACCAAAAAAAAAAAAAATCCAAGTTTAAACCGTTATAAACGGTTTCCCCGGCGATAATGGCAAGTAACAGCAGCAACAGCAGCAGCAACAGCAGCAATAACAGCAACAGAAGCAATATTAGCAACAGCAATAGCAATAGCTTAACAATAGTAAATAAATTGGATTGAAAATATGCCTTAAAACTGTTTGTTAGATCGACACTTTTTAACCACCGTTAGCTAAATATAAATTTCAATAAATATACATATATTTGCTAATAAATTTGCTCCATTTTTTTTTTTTGAAACTTTTAACGTTTGCCATGATCTTTTCTCCAATCATAGACCTTAAATAATCAACAACAACAACAGCAATAACGACAACAACAATAACAACAACAACAACAACAACAAGAAAGAAAATAAACAGTTATTAACCAGAAAGACTAATCGTCTACAAAACATTTCAATAAAAACGGTGGCTATTCTTCAATGCTATTATTTAAGATTTTAAAGCTGAAACTTTTCAGGAAAAAAAAAACACCAGTTTCTAATCAACAGACACACACACACACACACACACACACAAAACTCTACCTATACCTGTTTGACTGCTACTATATTTTTTTAGCTTTTTTACGTCGATTTTGATCTGAGCAACTGCAATCAGTCAGAAATTTTATCTTCCTCTACTATTACTTCTTTTTCACTAACAGTTATCGCCAATAACTACTAGACGTTGTTGTTTTTGTTGTTGTTGCTGTTGCTGCTATTTAATCTTTTTTCCTTCTTCTTATTACTTCAACGTTTAGTTGCAACTGCTGATATTCTTTCATCAGTTTAGATTGCAAAATTACCACTGCTGCTTCTGCTTTCAATATCACTGGCATCCGTCAGCAATGGCTCACCATAAAAAGGATATTTTTGTTGTTGTTGTTTTTAATTTTTTTTTTTTTCTTCTGTTGAACTTACTGTCTCAACACAGTGACTTTGGACAGAAATTATCATTGTAGCAGGAATTTAATTCTTTCATTCATATCCACAGCGAACGGATAAAAAAAAGTGAATATCACAACAGAAGACAAACAAATAAACAGAAATACGAAAAACTCCCAGCTTGTTTGTTTCTTCACTTTGCTGCACATTTTTTGTTCACACACTGCCAACAGAGATGGGACTGAGGAGGAGGCGGAAAAGAGGAGGAGTTAATGGTGGAGAGGTCAAATGTTGTCTGTGATAGCCATCAGTAACCCATAAATGAAACACTCTGTATGAGTTCTATTTTTTTTTTTTTTTTGAGTAATCTTCAACTGATATAATGTCTAATCATCTGCCAACACCACATGTAATGTTATTCCAAATATTCAACACAGACGGTATTATTTGATGACGTTTTTGCTTTCCGCCAATAAACTTTTTAGCCTGGTTATAAGGTGGAGAAAATACATACGTTATTGCAGAATAACAGCATAACTGTTGATTGGTTTCGAACTGTTAAAATAAGCAACAATTAGCATATTCTTAATGCGAGAAAAAACAGTTTATCTGTAAATCTGAGGCAAAAACTGCTAAAAAAGAGATAAACTTTGAAGATTACTGTAGCATTCTGGTATTTAACTAAATATGAACAACACAGTCAGTTTCATCTTTTTTTTCGACCCTTTTATTATTTCTTTTCTTTCTGTTCAAGCGGGAAAAAGATTTTTTTTGTTGACTAAAGACAACGTTTTCTCGTTTTCTTAGAAATAATTTGCAAAAATTACATTGTCAATGACATAATAGAAGGAAAATAAACGTCTCTTCTAAGATTCTGACGTGACCATAAAAAAAACACTCACTTAATCAAAAAGTTTTTGCCAACAGGAAAGTCTGTACTGAAATTCTGTATTCTACCAAACACTATAAACATCATATGATCAACATTTCGACAATTAAAACAAAAAAAAGAATAATAATACTAAGAAAAAAATAAGATTGAACTGAAGTATGAATATCAGTTTTGCATTAAACTAAACAAATAATTAAACTGAATCAGTCAACTGAAATACAGGTTAGTTCTGTGTAAGTTTTGAGAAGATTTTTTTGAACTGTTAACATGGTAATTAGTCATATACTGAAATAATTGTTTCAGTTAAGGAATAAAAATTTAGTACAAGGTTTACAGATGCTTAATTTCAGCAATAATTATCTGCTAAATTTTTACAGTATTTTACGGTTTAGAACCGTTTTGTAATCGTAAACTTTTCATCATTCATTCTCCCTCTTTGTTATCACATCTGATGTAGAAATAAGTAAATGATTAAAAACAAATTTTTTATTTTTCAAGTAATACTGTAAATTACCAATAAAATTATTGTTTTTTGTTGTTGCCATTGCTTTATTTTGATAAATCAGATTCTAATTTCTCTATAACATCTGTGATAATCAGAAATATTTAAGCAATTTACTTGTTCTCTGTAGTGAGTGGGTATATGTTGGTTATTGCTGTGAATTTTTTTTTTTCTTAACTAATCATTTACTGCAGACAATTTTTAGAACCAGCATAGTTTTTTTGTTCCTCTATTTTCAACTTTTAGATTTCTTGACTGTGTTTTTTTCTTTACAATTTATCAAACTTTACGCGAAACGAATACTTGGTTGTTTTGGTATTTTGTAGCAATAAGCAAAATTTTACTGCTACTGAGCGGTGATACTGCTTCAACAGTTTATCCAACAATGAAGTTGAAACAGGACAATTCATTCAGACAGACAAAAGGTATCAAATTCTGTCTATATAACCGTTGAAAACTTTGTAGCAGAATATTTTTATCAAATATCACACATAACAAAATAGTAATTAATACAACAAGTGAATGATACTGTTGCTATTGCTTCTACTACTAATGATAATCATATCAATATTAACAGTAAATACTGGTTAATTAGACTATGTAGGCAGTATTAATAATAATAATAATATAATATAATATAGTATAATATAATATAATATAATATAATAATAAAAGTTAACAGAAATATCATTTGTGTTAATTTTCATAAGTTGAACAGCATCGACGTGTATTTAATTATCTGTAAAGAATCTGTATAATCGCTGTTATTGTGGATTGCTGCTGTTCTGATAGTTGATCTAACCAGCAAGTTTTACTCTGGTTTATTGCACAACAGATTCACCTGAAATTGATCGTTGAACTAGCATCAGCACAGCCTACATAGTTTAGATCTGCATCATGTTAGACTGTTGTTGTTGCTGCAAAAAAAAAAGAAGAAAAAAAAAGCAAGAATGTTAACTAAAAATACTTGGTATTATAACGAAAACAATTGGTATTTATGCCTACAGTAAGTTATAATTACGTCAATTGGCAAAGAAGCCTTTACTTCGAATAAAGATAAAAATTTTTGGATAAATTTGATATAGAAATAGCAGCACCATGAAACTAGAAATACCTGAATATTTTTTCTAATCCCAAAAAAATAAATTTAAAAATACCGTAAACTACACATAAAAGTAACCTGTTTTTTATGAGCAATTTTACTGTCAGTTTTAGCAAACAATTTGTGCAACTAAACTGAATTAAAGTTATTACTGTATCAAAAAAGAAAGTAAATATAAACTTTTTTTACTGTTTAGAGATGCTCATTTTATTTATTTTTAAAATTTCAGGCTTGTAAGAAGATTCAATCTATCTGCATCAAACTACATCTTCATCTTTTTTTCCTTTTTTTTTTTTTTTGTTTCTGAGAAATGTACTGTGTAAATGTATAAAATGGTTAGCAATTTCATTTTGACATTTTTTTCAAGTAAGCAAAGTTTATTTTGAAGCATTTTTTGTGGTTTTGTGAATAATTTGAATAGATATAGTTTTTAGTCACTGATAAATAAATTAAAGCTTAAAAGTTTTGCTTTTTAAAATGTGGTAACAGCAAACCAACATCAGCAGCACTATAAAACTGTTAAACTTGTGTCATTAAAATTTTTTATATAACAGTATTTACTATTCAAAAGGGTACAAAAATTGCATAATTCAAGAGAGAAAACAGATAGAAAGATTGAGAATTTGCAAAAGTTTTTACAGTCTTAAAATCCTAATGATAAACAGTGCAATTTTTTCATTATGCTCCGATAAAGTAACCTGTTTTTGACCATCATTTTGTTCAAATTCTTTCTTTAG